AAGCATTTACTATAACGTGTGATAAAGCAAATGAGTAATTGGGTGATACTCAGTCATTCCCAGTGTTGCTGTGAACCAGTATTCTCAGCGTGGAATAAAGGAAATTCGGATATTAAATTGAAAAGATGAAGTTAACATCCTGTAGTCCTTACTTTTAATTGATTATGAATTGAGGATATATTTTGTCTTTAAAAATAAACAATTTCTTAAGGAACAGGGGTGAGGGGGTTGTTAAGAGAGGGCAGGGAAGGAGAGGATAGAAGGAATTACAAAGAGGCCCGAAGAAACTTTTGGGGTGAGGGATATGTTCACTATCTTAAATGTAGGGAAAGATTCACAGATATAGACACACTATACCCCACTTTAAATATGCGCAGTTTCTTTTATGTCATTTATACCTCAGTAGAGCTATTTTATTTTATTATTTTTTTTAATATATCTTTATTGATTTCAGAGAGGAATGGAGAGGGAGAAAGAGAGCCAGAAACATCAATGATGAGTGAGTCATTGATCAAGCCTGCAACTGGGCATGTGCCCTGACCGGGAATCGGACCCCAATCGCCTGGATCCCAGGTCGACGCTCAACCACTGAGCCACGCCCGGCCGGGCTCAATAGAGCTATTTTAAAAAGAACTATTTCCTAACGCTAGCCATTGAAATGACCTAGAAATACTGACTGACCCAGTGGCAGTGACCCAGACTGTGATTTTTTTTTTTTATGTTTTTTTTTTTTTTTAAATATATCTTTATTGATTTCAGAGAGAGGAAAGGAGAGGGAGAGAGAAACATCAATGATGAGAGTCATTGATCGGCTGCCTCCTGCACATCCCCAACTGGGGATCGAGCCCGCAACCCGGGCACGTGCCCTGACCGGGAATCGAACCCTGATCACCTGGATCCTAGGTCTATGCTCAACTGCTGAGCCACGCCTGGCCGGGCCAGACTGTGGTCTTAAAATGCTATTTGCACTGAAAGGATCCAGGGATCTTTGAGGAAGTGTCTGGTTCCAGATCGAGGGCAAGAAAATCTTGATCCATCTGGAATTTATTCTGGTAAGGTGTGAAGTATGGTTCCAATTTCATTTTTCTTCCAGATGACTGCCTAGTTGTCCCAACACCATTCGTTGGATTCATCATTTCCCCACTCACTTGAAATGGCACTGTCACATTCAGGGTTTTTGTGTGATAGGAAATACATCTTTTTTTTCTGATTTGGATGGAAAGGTCTTCATGTCTACTGTTTAACTACCCCAGGGTTTTTGTTGTTTTTTAAAAGAAAAACAAAAAGTTGTATATAACCATCAATATCATATTCTAACAAGATTTTTACCCTCACTTTACAAATTTATTACCAAGTTCATTTCAGTTTCTTTGAATGTACTGCACACAACCTTCAAATATTATGAACATTTCTCTCTCCCAGCTGTCACTACACCAAGCTACATATGTTATGTTTCCCTAAATCATCTTGCTGTGCTCTTTGCAGCTCTTCTGTACAGTTGATGTCTCCATCTAACAAGTTGCTCAAAAATCGCTATCATTATTTTAGGTGAGGCCTCAAAGTCAAAGCCTATTATCACTATCCAGTTCATCCCCAAAATGAGCATTAATTTCCACTTAACGTGAAGGACAGGATATGTTTCTGGAAAATAACAGATTGTGAAGAGCTATGGCAGTTGGCTCTTTGAACAATCCACCTGGGGGGGGGGGGGCCCTACAAAATGCCAACCGCTATTGTGGAAATTTTTTTTGCTATTTATTCCAGCAAATGATTCAGACACTGAAGACAAAGGGTCGCCCTGTACTAGGTCTGGAACCCAAAAGCTGTTTGCACAGAGATTCATCCAAGATCCATCATCACAGCCTCCACCTCGACAGATGCTCTTTCAGATGTGTCATGACTCTCAGTCAGTCCGCCTTTCGGGGGGAGGAGGGCGCGAAAGCGGGCCTAAAGTTTCTGTTTAAAAGCTTGGGCCCAAAATAGGTTTGGCTTCTGTTGTCTATTTAAAATTCCAAGTTAACTTTGTGGCAGGTCTTCGCGCGGCCAGCGTATCATCCAGTACCGGCGACCCGACCGGCGGAGGGACGAGGNAAGGCCGGGCCGCGACCGAGACGGCCGGGTGGCAACGCGCTGCGCCGCCCCGCAGGTTCCGCCGGGGCGCCGTGCTCTCGAAAAAGTGGAGAGAACGTGCGCGTGGAACCGGCATCCGCGCAGAGAGAGGGGGAACGTGATGATTTCGTAGGGTGCTTGCTGGGGCGGAAAACGGTGACCGTCTGAGTGGCGTCGGGAGGCGCGGGAGGAGCTAACGCAGGAGGAAGGAGCGTCTCCACCCCACCTCCAGGGCCCGAGCGAGCCCCCCGGCGGGAGGCCGCTCCGCGCGTTCCTTCTCCCCTGGAAAGTGTATGTACTGACAACCTCTTTGTGAAAGTGTCTAATAATAACAGACTGCCCCATCTTAAAATAAATAAATACAATTTCAAGTTGAGACGAAGAACAGTCACTCTCCATCCTGAGTGGGTCTTGGGTGCCTCACTCGCAGGCTAGAGAGTGGCAAGTGGTGAGTCAGAAGAAAGAAATTAGGAACGCTGAGGGGTTAGTGCAGCCAGGTGTGAAGAGCCGGGAGCGGAAAAAGCCTTGAGCAGGAGGGGAAGAGCCTCATTTTGGTTCTCCCGACCCCTTCTGCACATCGCCTGCTGCCACTCAGCCACCGCCCCTCAGCAGCCCTCCTCCGCCTCCAGGGCTTCCCCTTCCCGTCCCCTTCCCAGGGATCTCTTCCTCTCGGAACAGCCCCCGCCTTAGGCCTTCTTTCGCACAGCTGCCTGTCTTCACCTCCGCTCCCGCCTCGGTACCTGCACCCCCTGATTTCAACACTTGTCCTCGGTGCCCTGGG